AAAAATATATACAAAAAACAAAAAAACTATGTAAATAAAGGGTTGTTGTGAGGATTCCATGGCAGACCAAGTGTGGTGTGTGCTTCCTAGATCACCACTCAGGCAACCCAGTGCTGCCATCACCTCTGTCCTCCACATACCAGGGCCTCCTGTGTGAGTGACTTTTGGTACCTGCTTAGGAATACATTCAGAGTGTCACCGGCCTGGGGTGTGGCTGGCCCTAAGTGTGCAGGGCTAGCACGGAAGGGAACAAGTGTCACTGACTTTACTCTTATCAATCACATGTTCCTAAGTGATGAAGAACTGGTATGTGGAATGTGCAGGCTCTTGGGGGACCACGTGTCTCACCAGGTGGCCAAGATGACTGATGCCTATGCAGAGAGGAAAGTGAAATTTTTGTTTGTTTTTTCATTCCTTACCTGAGGACATTTTTCTATTTATCTTCCCATAGAGAGGGAGGGAGGGAGGGAGGGAAAGAGAGAGAGAAACATCGATGTGAGAGGGACACATCAACTGGTTGCCTTCTGCACGACCCCAATCAAGGCCAGGGACGAACCGCAACTGAGGTACGTGCCCTCGACCAGAATCGAACCCACGACTCATTGGTCTGTGGGCCGACATTCTAACTGCTGAGCCAAACCAGCCAGGGCAGGGAATACATCTTTGGATACATTTTACCACGAGAACATTTTCTTTCTTTCGTTTTTTTTTTATCCTCACCCAAGGACATTTTTGCATTTATCTTCAGATAGAGTAGGAGGGAGAGAGGGGGGGAAAGAGAGAAAGAGAAACGTTGATGTGAGAGAGATGGTTGCCACCCACATGACCCCAACCAGGGCTGGGGACAAACTGCAACCGAGGTACATGCCCTTAGCGGGAACTGAACCCGGGACGCTCTGGTCCATAGGCTGACGCTCTGGCCACTGAGCCAAACTGGCCAGGGCAAGAACAACATTTTTTAAGTTACATATATGCACAAACTGAAGACTAGATGGTCTTTCAGAAACAAATGCTAGTGAGCTATCAGATGCTGTGGAGAAGGCACCACCACAGGTGGCCAAGGCAGAGGCCTCTGGGGACTGATCACTGGGCCACACCAGCAACTTAAGAGTTGGTGCCATAGGCTGGGTTCTCTGGAAGCAGAAGCTGAGACAGTTTGGGGTCCAAGTTATCCAAGATCAGCCCTTGTGAAGAAAGGGAGAAAAAAAGAGATGAAACAGAGGGGAAGGCAGTCTGGACTAGCAACACCTGTCCCAGCAGGGACTTCGGAACTGGCACTGCCCATCAGCGTGCCCACACTGTGTCAGAATGGCCAGGCTGATCCTTTGGCTCAGCCACTGAGAGCAAACTGAAGGACTGAACCACTGGATGGCAGGCAACAGGTCCTCCCTGGAAAGGAGTCGTGGAAGGACACCTCTGTCTGCCACAGCTGACCTTTACAAATCCTCCTCTCAGTACTAAATAATGTTTGTTAAAATTGAGTTTATTACCATCTGAGTTTATTACCAAGGTGGAATAACCACGTCTGAATGTACCCTCCCTTCTGGAAGAATACTAACAGAATAAACAGAAAAATATATAAAATGATGGTGTGTGTGCAAGGCACTGCAGCTCAGGCAATGAATAGTTGCTGAGAAACGGGATATAAACAAGCTGAGCCCTGCAACTCCACCTTACTGCCTTGAGAGAGTTTTCCAGGCCAAGGGGCAGAGAGAGGGAGCCTAGTGAAGCCTGGCAGATTCCCTGAGTTCGGGAGACAGAGCTGAGAGTCTGGGGAGGTCAAGGCAGGTCAAGTACACATGACAGAGTCCAGAGAAGAGAGCACCGAGAACCGAGAGGTCTGCAGAGAGGCCCGGGAGGTTTCCACAGAGAACTGGTCCGTCAGCACATTTGTGAGGCTGCGCTGTCAGCGGGAACCATGGGAAAGGATGGAGAGAACAGTGTCTGGCCTGGGAACAATGGCTATGCTCACTAAGACTGGAAAAACTCATAAATCATGGGCTACTAGGACAGTACTCAGGCAGTCTTAGCCCCAATAGAACCACCCCACAAATAATGAAAGCAAGAACTGAGTGGATCAAACTCTTTCCAAGTAACCTAACTGTATCCCAGACCATAATTTAAGATGGCTTGCCCTGGCTGGTTTGGCTCAGCAGTGGAGTGTTGGCCCGTGGACCGATGAGTCCCAGGTTCGATTCCAGCCAAGCGCATGTACCTGGGTTGCGGTTTGTCCCCAGCCCTGGTTGGGGTAGTGTGGGAGGTAGCCAGTCTATGTGTCTCTCTCACATCGATGTTTCTCTCTCTCTTCCTTTCTCTCCCTCTCTCTCTACCTGAAGATAAATAGAAAAATATCCTCGTTGAGGATAAAAAAAAAATTTAACATGTTTAGTAATACAAAAATATTAGCACCCAACAAAGTAACAGTCACAATATCTGGTATCCGAAGATTAGCAGGCAAGCAAAAAGGCAGAAAAATATGACCTATAATGAAAGCAGTACTCAATCAATAAAATCAAATCAGAACTGAGGCAGATGTTAGAATTAGCAGACAAAGATACTAAAGATTATTATAATTGTATTCCATATTTCAAAAAGTTAGGAGCATGGAAGATGTAAAAAACAAGATTCAAATTGAATTTCTAGAGATGAAAATTACAATGTCACGAAAAATACACTGGATGGGATGAACCGTGGGTTAGACATGGAGAAGAAAAGCTCTAAGAACCTGAAGGCATAGCAATAGAAACTAAACAAAATGAAACAGGAATAAGAATTTATTTTTTTAATCCTCACCCAAGAATATTTTTCCATTTATTTTCAGATAGAACAGGACGGGCCCTTGGCCGGAATTGAACCTGCCACTCTTTGGTCCACAGGCCAATACTCTAACCGCTGAGCCAAACCAGCCAGGGCAGAATAAGAATTTTTAAAAACCAGGACTAGCAAGCTGTGAAACAACTTCAAGTGTCCCAATATATAGGCAACTGGAATCTTTGAAGGAAATGATAGGGTTGGGGCCAGGGGAGCAGAAAAAGTATTTTAAAAAATAATGCCCCCAAATTTTCCAAACTTGATGAAAACTATATAAACCCACATCTGGCATCTCAAACATATCCTAGACAGAAAGGAATTCTGGATTCCCCCAAAGCTGGTCCCCCTAATCTCAGTACCAGGCATCACGGTGCCTGCCACCGCTTCCCTTACCAGGCAGATCCCCTCCGTGCACCTCCCAGGTCCCCAGCCCCTTGCCCCATCTCTCCTGGCCACTCTCATCACCTCTGCCTGGACACTCTAGTGGCTTTCACAACTCAGTCTCCTCCTGCCCACTATGCCCCACTAAAAGCCTGAGTGATCGTCCAGTGTTTTAGATCATGCCATTCCCTTGTTCAAAATCCCCCATTGGTGGGGAGTCCATTATACTTCAAACAAACCCACCTGGCCTCGACCACTTTTTTGCCTTCCCTGCCCCCTCTCTGAGCTGGGCTCAGTTTCTAGGCCTCCCCACTCTCAGACATGACCGTTGCTCGACCGTTATTCAGTCCTCTCCTCAGAGGCCAGATTCTCTGAGACGCCTTCCCAGACCACCCAAACAAAGACTGCCTCCATCTTCAGCCCTCGCCCACCACTGGAACCCTGGCTCTATCTTCCTTTTTTTTTTTCTTTTTTTTTTCTTTACTGATTTTAGAGAGAGAGGAAGGGAGAGGGAGCGAGAGATAGACATGAACATTGATGAGAGAGAACATTGATTGACCGCCTCCTGCATACCCCCCACTGGGAATCCGGCCCACAACCTGGGCATGTGTCCTGACTGGGAATCAAACCGATGATTTCATTAATCCTCTTCAGAACCCTCCGTCCCCCTTTCAAAGGCAGGGATGTGAGATGCAGGACTGTTCAGCTACAATAGCCATGATCATGCCCGGGGTCTACCTGACCTCACCATCCAAGCTTTTCCCCACACTGTCGGCCTCCCACGAGGAAAGACCTGATCACAGGTGATGCTGGAGCCGATTTACAGGATGAGCTGAGACCAACAGGTCGGCCAGTCAAGGACAGGCGCTGTACACTGTGGACAGTCCCGAGAACAAGATCTGGACGTCCTAGAACTATCACGAGGGTTGCTTCTGAGATTGCATTCTCCTCAAAATTATTCAGGTAATTCTTTGAATTTGGCTACTTTTTCAAAAAAGGGTCTGGATTTGATTTTGAAAGAAACCCATGAGCAATGGCTTTTCAAAAAAAAATTAGGGTTTCTGCTTTTTTACTTATTGAAATGTCCAGAGGGAGGGAGAAAGGCTGCCAGCTTGGTGGCACTCAGACGTCCTCCCCTCTTCTCTCAGTGGTGCTGTGTGTGCTGGTCACAAAGTGGCTGCTCCACATGGACATGGGCTCCGGGTCCTGGAGGAAGGAAGGGGGAAGGCAAAGGGCAAGGCTTGTCTCAGAGGCATCTGCCTACTTTTTTTTTTTTGTCCCCTTTATTGATTTTAGAGACAGAGGAAAAGAGAGGGAGTGAGAGATAGAAACATCAAAGAGAGAGAACATCGATTGGCTGCCTCCTGCCTGCCCCTCACTGGGGATCGGGCCCTCAACCTGGCATGTGCCCTGACTGGGAATCGAACTGGCGACCTCTTGGTGCATGAGTCGATGCTCAACCACTGAGCCACACCGGCTGGACAGCATCTGCCTACTTTTAAGCAGCTTTCCCAGAAGCCCCACCCAACTTCTGCTTCTGTGGCACACCCAGCCACCCCTAACTCCAAGGGAAGCAGGAAGCAAACACAGTGTTTTAGCTGCCCACCTTTGCTGGCCTGAGGAGTCAGGGTTCTTTGGGTAGGAAAGAGGTGAAAAGTGGGTACTGGGCAAGCAACCAGTAGTGCCCACCACACCTAAGGTGCCCCTGGTTCAGTGGAGCTGAGAGGCTGAGGTCACACCATGAACCAGGTGCCTGGGCCTGCCCTCTGCAGGTCCTTCCTAAGGGAATGTTCACGCTGCCTCCACAGGACACAGAGAATCTCCTCGGGGACGTGCCCACCAGCACTGCGGACACCTGGGCCATCAGCAACGCTAGCAGAGACAGCCTGCTCAGCGGGGTGGCCACCCTGAGAAGGCAGCTGGAGCGCAAGCATGCCTCCAAGCTGGAGAAGGGACAGCTGGTGGCCCTGGAACTGGAAGCCCCCAGCAGCTTTACCAGCAGATGAGGGGGTCCTGAGCATCACATGAATGCAGTGCAGTTCCTCCATGAGCCAAGAGGCTAAACAGAGATGGGGAGACTCATGGATGGCAACGTGTCCCCCCAGCTCTCTGCCAAGGATGCTTTCCATCAGGCTCCCTTCCCTTCCCTTCCCTTCCCTTCCCTTCCCTTCCCTTCCCTTCCCTTCCTTCCCTTCCCTTCCCTTCCCTTCCCTTCCCTTCCCTTCCCTTCCCTTCCCCTCCCCTCCCCTCCCCTCCCTCCCTCCCTCCCCTCCCCTCCCCTCCCCTCCCCTCCCCTCCGCTCCCCTCCCCTTTCCTTTCTTACCTGAGGACACTTGCGTTTATCTTGAGATAGAGTGGAAGGGAGAGCGGGAGGGAGAGAGAGAGAGAGAAACATCAATGCGAGAGAGACGCATCGAGTGGTTGCCATCCACACGACCCCAACCAGGGCTGAGGACAAAGTGCAACCGAGGTACGTGCCCTTAGCGGAACTGAACCCAGGCCTCTCTGGTCCACGGGCCAATGCAAATGGGCCAGGGCTATTTTCAAGAGCTCATTAAAGGAATTGGCATCACTGCCTTTCCCCATCACCCCTACTGACCAAGCGGCTGACTTGCTTGGCAGGGTTCCACAGGTCCTGGCAGGCGGGCTGTGCCACACAGGACCATCTGTCCCAACAAGCACTGAAGGATATATTGTGCAAGGCAGCATGGGTTTGGTGCCAAGACCAAATAGAGAGGCAAAGCTTCCCCATAACCCATCTTATTCCTCCTCGCCTTCCTCCACCAGCAAGACCTCTGCACAGGGAAGTGAGGTTGGGTCTAGGGAACCAACCATATAATACAGTATACAACTTTTATCATTTTGGCTGCAACTTGAAAGTTGCTAGACTTCACCTTTTAAAAAGAGAAAAAGAGACCTGCCCCTTTGGCTCAGCGGTTAGAGCGTCGGCCCGTGGACCAGAGAGACCTGGGTTTGGTTCCTGCTAAGGGCACATACCTCGGTTGCAGTTTGTATCCAGCCCGGTTGGGGTCGTGTGGGTGGCGACCAGTCAATGTGTCTCTCTCACATCAATGTTTCTCTTTCTTTCTCCCTCCCTCCCACTCTATCTAAAGATAAATGCAAAAATGTCCTTGGGTGAGGATTTAAAAAAAAGAGAAAAAGAGTCCAACCGGTGTGGCTCAGTGGTTGAGCATCAACTCATGCACCAAGAGGTCACTGGTTCAATTCCCGGTGAAGACACATGACCAGGTTGTGGGCCAGATCCCCAGTGGGGGACATACAGGAGGCGGCCAATTGATGTTCTCTCTCATCGATGTTTCTATCTCTTTCTCCCTCTTCCTTCCTCTCTCCCTAAAACCAATAAAGGAGAAAACCAAAAAATAAATAAAAAGGAAAAAAGATTCCACATTGTGGTATCTCTGTTGATTGGGGGCATCTTACATTGGTAATTGATCATCCAAAGCTTTTAAAAAAACAGGAATCTTTAAAACAACAATGAGGTATCACCTCACACCTGTCAGAATGGCCGCCATCAACAAATCATCAAACAACAAGTGTTGGCGAGGGTGTGGAGAAAAGGGGACTCTAGTACACTGCTGGTGGGAATGCAGACTGGTGCAGCCACTATGGAAAGCAACATGGTGTTACCTCAAAAAATTAAAAATCGAACTGCCATTTGACCCAGTGATACCGCTTCTAGAAATATACCCTAAGAAGCCTGAAATACCAATCAGAAAGAATATATGTACCCCCATGTTTGTAGCAGCACTATTTATAATAGCTAAGATCTGGAAACAACCCAAATGTCCATCAGTAGACGAATGGATAAAAAAGCCGTGGTACATATACACAATGGAGTACTATGCAGCTGTAAGAAAGAAAGATCTCTTATCCTTTGAGACGACATGGAGGGACCTGGAAAGTATCATCCTAAGCGAAACAGGCCAAGCAGAGAAAGACAAGTATCACATGATCTCACTTATTTGTGGAATATAATGAACATAACAGTCTGAGGAATGGGGTAGTATCAGAAACGTGGAAGTGGGGTACAGACTGACAATCCCCAGAAGAGGAGGTGGTGGGGGGAGGGAAAAGATAAACCACAGAACTTATATTCATGTATGTATGAACAATGGACATGAACAACAAAGGTGGGGACAGGGTGGGGAGGGATGGGGAAGGGGAAATCAGTGGGGGAAAAAGGAGACACATCTGTAACAAAAATAACTTAATAAAAATTGGAAAAAAAAAAACAGGAATCTGTTTAAAAAGCACAGGTTGTTGGTTTTTTTTGTTTTTTTTTTTCCTCACCCGAGGATATTTTTCCATTTTTTGTACAGATAGAGTGGGAGGGAGAGAGAGGAAGGGAGAGAGAGAGAGAAACATCGATGCGAAGGGACATATCGAGTGGCTGCCACCCACACGACCAACCAGGGCCGGGGACAAACTGCAACCGAGGTACGTGCCCTTAGCGGGAACCGAACCCGGGTCTCTCAGGACCGCAGGCCGACGCTCTAACCGCTGAGCCAAACTGGCCAGGGCAAAAAACACATGTTGTTTGAAGCTCACATAGGTGACCTTGAATGGTGGGGACCACTGGCTTGGCCACTGGGGTGGGTGGTGCAAGAGGTGAGGCCTTGGCACAGCTGAACAGAACAGCTTTGTGTTCTGAAGACTCATAGTGTACTTTTAGCTCAACTGAGCCTCAGATACTGGAAATCACAATAGCAATGATTCCTCAGAAATGAAGCCTGTGGCTAGCTCTCACCATGGCTTTTTTTTTCTTTTTCTATCACACTAATAACTACAATTTGTTGAAGAGTTAGTATATACTCTTTATGTTAATGAGTTAATTACATTCTCGAAATAACTGCAGGGGGTAAAAATTATTATCTCCACTTGATGGAAAAAACTCAGAGTCCGATTATTTAAATCACTAGGCCAACATCACACAGACATTGAAAGGGTAGATGATGCAAATCCAAGTCCATCTGGCTGAGGGCTGGCTTCTTCTTCCAGTCTACCCCAGACTACTGACCTGTAAATATCTCCTTAAAGAACCCTCCCATTCGTCGGGAAGGAGCTAGTTCTTGTTAACTTCAACCCATCAGTTTTTAGTAAACATCTACAACAAAATTCAAGAAGACTGATGGAATCCGTAGTTGCACCTATTGGTATGCAATTAGTAGAGCTGCATGCAGTGTTTCACATAAATGACATTATGGATACTTCACTCTCCTTAGGAGGTAAACAATAGGGTCCCCATTACACAGATGAAGAAACTGAGAAGGAGATTAGTGGTTTGTCTAAAATCACAGTTAGCAGCATGGATTCTGAAAGTCATTGTCAAGTTCCTCCTCCTTCCAGTTACCTTGTTTTCAGGTGCGACTGGTTGCAGTTGATGCAAACTCTGCCCTGCTCAGCTGGGAAAGAAGGAAAGGGACTTCCAAAAAGCACCTGGGAGAGGGTACGGTGGCCCCAGAGGTGGCAGGACCCAGACTCAGTTACTGTCAGGAGGCCCCTTCTCTCTTGTGTTTATTTCTCAGTGATTGTTTTACTTTCTTCCTAAAGAATGACCTCTTCTCCTCTGTTGTTACAGCTTGGGGTCCAAAGCTAAGGGGATATTTTCTCCCAGTTTCCATCTAATACATTCCCAGGAAAGGACTCTGAGTGGCCTATACCGAAACCCCAAGTGGGGCAGTAGCAGTGTCCCCAAAGAGGAGGCAGTGAGGACACACAGATGACCATGGGGGCAAGGCTCTTAACAAAAATGAAGCAGGCTGGAGGACAGGGAGGCTGTGACAAACAGCAGAGGCTATGCTGTGCATAAAGAAAACAGTGTCCTGTTGGAACACAGGCTGAGTGTAGCCAGAGATTCCAGTATTTTTTAGAAATGCAAGACATCCAGATTTTTAAAATACAGTATTAACTGTCTGGATTCATTTGAAAGATGTCAACTAATTAAAAATAGATTTAAAACATTGCATGGACAAAACAAAGCACTTCTGTGAACCAGATGGGAACTCCGGGCCATCACCAGTTGGCAACCTCAACCTAGGGAGGTGTCAGGGGATGTTCCCTCCTTCTGCTGTGACTCCTCTGACCATAGCACTTCCCTGCAGGCACACTGGCAAGCATGAGGCCCCTGTGTCAGGAGGCACTGCCCAGACATCATCATCCTGACCTACATGTCCACGCTCTGCACTAAGACCTGGGCCCACTGTGGTGGAGGCCCATGGTTATGGGCAGGGAGTCTGTGACGTGAAGAGCAAGATCAGGGGCAAACTGCTCACCTGGAGCAATGGTGTTGAGTGCAGGGCCAGAGGCAGCAGCTATACAAGGGGCCCCAATCTTACCTGGGGAGGAAGTTACCAGGAGTTTGTTTGCTTTACTTGATTTATTTAGGCTTCAGGAAAACAAAGGTGGAGGGAGGGTTCTGTCCTGAGGCTGCCTGCAGAGGTGTGGGCAAGAAGTGGGGTCTGAGATGGCATGGTCTCAGGGACACTGGGCCTCTGGGGTCCTTTGGAGGTTGGATACTCTGGGAACCTCAGCAGGGGAATTTGGGGTCTTTTCAGGATTCAGTCTCCTTCCTTTCCTGGCCCAGCCATGCTATTCCCTCTGCTTTTTCACACTGTCTGTTGGTCACAACCCTCAGGATCTGGGGTCCTAGTTTGCTGTCCTCTCTACCTGTTTGTATCCTTTGAGCTCAGCTTCTCTGCAAACTGTGTTAGTCTTTTGCCTTTTAATTCCAGACTTCAAGAGATGTTTATTGACATCTTGGCCCTGTTCTTGCAGATGGAGGTACAGCTGTGAAAATGCAGACAAAGTTCTTGCTTTCTTGGGGGACGACCAATAAAACAAGCAAGATGGATTCAGAGAGTGCTAAAATGCTGAGGCTGTTATAAAAATAGAGTGGCGAAATAATGATGGGGGTTGGTTAGGCTGGCTGATCAGGAAAGGTCTCTCTGAACAGGCCAAATTTAAATGGCATCTGAATGACCAGGGC